GGCTGTCGTACGCTCCAGACTTCTTAAAGGGCTCAGTTCGACATTCCAACTACCTGAAGAAAGTCGGAGAGTACAACAGCTGAAACGTTGTGATAAATATGGCAAAAAAAGATGATGACAATAGTCCGAATAATGTAAAAAGGGTTTAGTCCTCCAAGGACATTCATTCTGACATTAGGGGATGGCTGTTCAGAATGTTATCAACAGTACAAAAATGGAGGAGAAAGAGAGAGTTTTGAAGATGACCCAAGGTCTAAGCATGTTGGAACTGCCAGCATCGAGGAAAACATTGATCGTGTTCATCATGTGGGTGACAGGCAATTGACTAAAAATGAAATAACCAATGTCCTGTGAGATAGTTGAGAATAGTCTGTCCAAGGAACATGGCATGGCAAAGGTTTCTACTCGATGGGTTCAACGTCTTCTGACACCTGATCGCACAAAGTTGATCACATTACTGGAAGATCTGATATTATTTGAGGCAGATTCAGCTGGTTGGTTCTGGTCAGGTTAAGAACTCTTCAGCTGACCTTCATATATAACGTCACAGAAACGCTACAGCAACGTCATTTAGTTAGTTGTGGAATGGGATAAGATGTTTAATGAGTTTAAAGAGAAGTGCAATTTCTCGAAGTCGTATTGAGACTGTAATCGAAAATAATGAAAGCCCTATTCAAAAGTCACGGTAACTTTGCAATTTTTTCCCCATACTTTCGGCCTTGTGCCACCATCTGAGCTATGGTTGGAAAAAATATATATATATATATATATATATATATATATATATATATATATATATATATATATATATAGGTAGGAAAAATGAAAATAAAAGACATTTAAACAGCATTAAAGATGTTAAAGAATGAGAGAAATATCTCTCATTCTTTAACATCAATACACGGAAGGTTATTCGTGAGTATAAACGGATTTTATTAAAAATTAGCAGACATAATATCTGTAATTTATTCAGTCAGGCTAAAAGAGAATTTGCTGCCTAAATGCACATACACACACACACACAGATGTTTCGTTGCATAAAATAGACAAGGAGAAGCACTTTCGGCCAATTCTTCAGTTATTTTCAACGGTCTTTGTTTTTTGTGCTGTTACTTTCTCTTTGTGTTTGACTGTATTTTATATTTTTCGTTTTTGTGTTGTTTTGACGACTAGTAGGAGCGTTTATTTCGATTTTTTTGTCTTGAGCGCGGTTGGAATTCAAGTGAGCGTCTTTCAATTTGTTTATTTTTTAACTTTCAAAATCCTGTTACTGCTGTTGAATAAGGTGAGGTTGATAGTTGGAGCAAGATGTTTCATTTATAGGGCCTTTCTCACAGCGAGATATCCCCGTTTATTTGATGTAGAACCATTGTTTTATCCACCGGGGATGTTAAGAGGTATTCTAAATCATGGGTGACTAGTTGTTTTTTTTTTTTC